CTCACGCTGAAAAGTATAATTTTCCTGAATTCTGAGTTGCGTTTTTATTGTTGGTCAGTATAAGTATGAACCAGATTGTTATCAATTAAGAGATCGACCCTTGTAGAATATAAGCAATGTTGTGACATTATTGAAAGCATGTTATGTTTTTTATGGTCTAATTATCATTCCTTAGTTTTCTAGGTTTTTTAAGGAAACTCATGCGTGACATACATACACCAAACGCACAAAATACACGTGCATGCATAGTTTAAATATTAAAGACCAATTAATGTTACTTTCAACCTTGATATGTTTATGTTCAGATATTTTCAGAACATTCAATAAAGTAAGTGTTCATTTGGTGGTGTCGGAATTGTGTTAAATGTAATTTTTAAATTTTGTTTTCACTGACGATGATACTTTGAAATGACTTTAGTTTTGAAAATTAAATAAGTGAAACCATGTAGCTCAAGCCCATATACACACACGCACACACACACACATAGAAAAAAAACCCCAACCAAACAGAAAACAACAACCCGAAATATACATAGTGCTCCTTATCAATTGTTCTTACTACATTCTTTAACAATGTTTTCTATCTCTATGTTTGTGGATTTATTAACAAGAAAACAGAAATGCCTTGGCCTTACAATGATATCATCAACAAGCGGAACCTCAATTGCACCAACCAACACTACATTAGTAACAGAGGGAAACGTCCATGTTTCAGATCATCAGAACCAGACAATGATTTCCTTCTGTCCTCCTTCAACGTAACAGGTGTATTGGGTAAGCACGTATCAATGATGCATAAAAAGGCAAGCTATGATATGTTGTAGTACTTAAGAGATTATTTCTTTCTTTCTTTCTTTATTGTTCAACGAGGCACTCAGCAATATTCTGGATAAGACAATCCAGTGATCAACTGGGCTATGTTCTAGTACTGAAGAGATTATTTATTTATTTATTTATTTATTTATTTATTTATTTATTTATTTATTTATTTATTTATTTATTTATTTATTTATTTATTTATTTATTTATTTATTTATTTATTTATTTATTTATTTATTTATTTATTTATTGTTCAACGAGGCACTCAGCCATATTCTGGATAAGACAATCCAGTGATCAACATCAGGGGCATTGATCTACCGAACTGGGCTACGATAACATGTGTCAACCTAGTGAGCTAGTGAATGTGACGTTGAAAAAATAATAAAACACAAAGTACCGGAGCATACTATTTTGTCCATCTTTCAGAAACTGGAGAAAAGAAGGTCGACACACTTAAAACGCCCTCCAGTCAACTTTTGCCAAAGCATACCTGGCAACGCAAGTATCCTGTTGGAGTTATTCACAGAACTAAGTGGAAACCCACACTGTGTTTGGACACCCTGGAATCTACAGCCTGGGCATATCGACAATGTTTAAGGAACCGACGACTTTGGATTCCTGGGGACTCAACCAGTCGTCAATTCAAGGAGGCCCTTCACGACATACTGAACTTACAATGCGCCCTTAAAGGTCTCAACCCTCAGCTCTTGGAGGACAAGCAAGACAATTTCTCAGTGGCATGGTTTGCTCATGAATTCCCACTGTTTCACGGACAGGAACGTTACTCTCCACTAGCTAACAGGGCACAGCATATTCTTCTTGAATCTTTGCCCAATAACACAGTGGATATTGTGGTGCTGTATTTATATGTCCACTTCAATTTAGTCCACCCGGACATATACCGCCAACATGTTCAGCGACTGGTTCGGGCAGCTACGTCTCTCCTTGAACGGGCGCCTGGTGTCACACTTGCTGTTCGAGGACCCTTTGCTTATTACAGGAATCCGGCTCAGGAACTTGTATCGTACTGGGGACTGCTATATACAGATATATTGCATGAGGAGTTTTCATCTATTGCACACAGAGTGGTGTATATAGACTACTGGGATATGACAGTGGCCTTAGGCCCCAACCACATTCATCCAGATACATCAACAGTTAGAACTATGGTTCACTATATGATGTCTCTTCTCTGTCATAGACGGGTGGGGCATACATCTTAACCAGGAGATGCAGGTGCCTTAATTCCGTCCACTGACTTGTCTCCCCTAGCTGTGCCTGTATAAGCTCATCAAACGTTCAAATCCACGTTCAGATCCTTGGTTTATGAAGACTCCATCGGCTCTGTGTTAAAAGTCCATTTCTTTCTCCACTGGGTGCTTTGTTTTGTTGATGAGGTTCATGATTGTTTCGTCCATTTTACGCTTGAACAATTTGACATTTTCCGACACATAAACCAATTACAATATAATCAATCCTTGGTCTGCGAACACTCCATCAACTCGGTGTTAAACGTCCACGACTTTCTCCACTGGGTGCTTTGTTTTGTTGATGAGGTTCATCGTTTTCCCGTCCATTTTACGCTTGAACAAATTGACCCTTTTCCGACACTTGATGGTCTCTCATCAATTAACCAATTGTAATTCAATCAATCCTTGATCTGTGAACACTCCATCAACTCCGTGTTAAACGTCCACGACTTTCTCCACTGGGTGCTTTGTTTTGTTGATGAGGCTCATCGTCTTTCCGTCCATTTTACGCTTGAACAATTTGACCCTTTTCCGGACACTTGCTGAAAACTCACCAATTAGCCAATTGTTTTTCATTTATGTCAAATGCCCACATACGGAAACAACGAGGTTTTTCCAGCTGCGAGTGATATTTATTATCATAATGGAATAATACTGTATGATCAGATTCATTGGTCAGTGGTTCAGGGGTAATTTATTCTAGTCACGTGTCATATCTGTTCTCAACTCGACTCAAACAGCTCAGGACACTAATTAGTCAACTCAAACAAACAAGGGTCCAGTTATGCGCGTTATAGAATATCAAACTCAGCATCAAAGTGACGAAATATCGCATAGTCAGATTTGAAACGCTCAGTCAAACACGATTGTGTGGAACTTCGATGTGTCGAACTTACGGTTGTCTCGAAGTGAATGTTTGGTCCTTGCGTTTTCCTGATTTACTTTGGATAACTCAAAGTATTTACATAATGAAAACCAGGTTAAAACTATGGATAGTCAACTTCTTTATTGCAATGAATGTGAAGCTTCGGTGTTATCAAGCACCAAAACGTCGCATTCATTGCAATAAAGAAGTTGACTATCCACAGTACTTGGTTTTCCTTCATCCTTACAACTTCTAAAATGCCTATCAAAACACGGAATTTGACTGAGCAATCTGATATGTCAGGCAAATCAATAATAAAATCTGAAAAAAGAATCACGAATATGGTTCATGGAAATAACAAAAGTTACTTCCGTGTTCCGATACACGCGCTACATTTGAACAAGCCATTGTATCCATATGGAGAATCGAATCACTTTCTCCGTGACGACCGAATACCTTAACCAATGGGGTACCCCTCCGGTTTTCGCTAGTTTGAGACGTCTTCAGCTCACCCAAAAAAATCTTGGTGGTAGTAGCAAATATTCAAACAGTCTAATTGTGATGCCGATATACTTTTATGTATCCAGTGTCAAATTAAATATTCGCAATCCTTATTGAATAAAATACACGACGCTAACATACTTTTCTCATTTAAGGATACTAATTCGAATAAAATGCAAATATAAAAACTTAATCTCTATGAATTTAAGTCGAGCCATAACCACTGTGCGTTGTTATATTATAATAATGTTGATCATGATGTTCGTGTCCGCAGCACTTGGAGTAGCTCACGTTAAGGTTACACAAAAACAAATATTTTCCCATTAAAATTTACAGTATTCTTGTATTATTTTTTAAAATAAGCCACCAACAGTTACTACATGCACATGTGTGCATAACCTTGTCTTATATATAAACAAAAAAATACAAGCTCAAATACAATCTAGTTCTTTTCCGAGCATAGAAATCTAAACAGACACATTCACACAAAGTGTCATTTGCTTGAAAATATCCGTGGTCATATGAAACACAGGTAATATTTTAGTTCGTTATAACCTTTGTTCGACTCAAACACACAAGTGGCCGAGACAAGAAAAATCAGTTCGTCATATCCGTTAGCCGTGATAAGCGTGTTCGTTTTGATCGTTCGTTTGCTAAAATGGAGAAAGTATCCCTCAACATTTTCTCACAAAACATTCGAAGACCGCTTTAGACTATGCACTCACATGTTCCTCCACATAAATATACTTCCCATCCAATGTTTAGACTCACTTAAAGCACTCACTCTATATTATGTGTGTATATATATATGGTTACATCGAAGATTTATTTCCCCATTAACTTGGGGGAACCAACCACAAACTTTATGCAGATTAATTGCACGGGGATCATGCATCAATTTGCTGAGAAGCATTTGCTAATTTCATGCATGTGAACAGCAGCGTTTTGGTGTAAAATTTTGTTAAGAATTCGCCAATTTTCACTGAGTTTTATCATTTATGGAACTCATGACAATAATCTTTTCAACGTTACGAATTTGTTTTATAATGCACCAGTTCATGTGTGAACACTACCTTTAAACAGAATGGAATATTTTGCAAAATGTAGTTTAGAACGGTTGTCTGAAGTAAGTGGTTATATTTACACTAGTGAGTCTAAACTTTTGATAGGAAATATATCTCATATCCTTTAATCACAATTCTACGGGTGTATTATTCCCTTCCATATTTGGGCACAACATGCTTATGCGGGCGTGGACGCGTTCAGTGTTGTTTGAGATCTGTGTTTACTCTGGAGAAAGGGGTCACAATCCTTATCCACATGTGAGTGAAAAGGTGCTCCATTCCTAGCCGGACGGATTTTATATGAGTGAAAAGCTTACAATAGTTCATCATATAACATCTAAGTAGCTAAGAGTTCCTTTGTTACACCAAATCACTGTTTCGATTCCTAAAATGTGTTATGTTGTCCATTCTTGTGTCCACCTGACCTGAGGTATTTTACGTGAGTGGTATGCGTACAATAGTTCGTCATATAGCAACCTCCGACTAGGTAGCTCAGAGGTGAAAGTGTTCGTTGAAACACCATATGACAGTATTCGTCTGCTGACCTGCCGCCCTTTTCGATAAGAAACTGATATATTTCTCTTCCTTTTTTAACGCAGCGCGCAGCAATATTCGCGTTATATGATGGCTGTCTGTAAATAATCGAGTATGGAGCAGACAATACAGTGATCAGCATCATGAGCATCTATCTACGCAATTGGGAAACGATGACATCATCCAACGATGTCAGGGAGCCAGATCAGTCCGTTTGTCGCTGTTTGGTTGCTGAAGACCATTCCAACTTATACACTCACCATTATCGTAATGTGTGTCGTCTACTACTACTACTACTACTACTACTACTACTACTACTACTACTACTACTACTACTACTGCTGCTGCTGCTGCTGCTGCTGCTAGAAGTACAATGTAGTAGTTGTAGCAGTAGTGAAAGTAGTTGTGGCTACGCAAGCAGCTGTAGCTGTAGCTGGTGTAGTTGTAGTGGTCACTGAAGTATATCATCATGTATTATTATGCAGCTGGACCTTACCTAACATCAGACGAAAAACACACATTATGAATAACTTATTGTGTGTTTTATTCATGTGCACCACATGGATTAGGACAATGTACACATGACATTAAGGTATTGCGCTGTCTCCAGGATAAGGGGGTTGTAGGGTAGCCTAGTTGTTAAAGCGTTCGTTCGTCATGCAGAATATCTGGGTTGGATTCCGCGAATCTGACCACCCAATCCCTTAGTCGCCTCTTATGACTAGCATGGGTTGCTGAAGACCAATTCTAACCCGAAACTCCATGGGACCATAACCTATTGTAAGTAAAAGGCAAACTAGTAATGCAAGTAAGTTAATGGATCAGCGATGTTCAGTTACGACACCAGGTGCTCGCGTAAAAGGTAAGCATGCCCTGCCTCACCGGTAACACCTCCACTTAGAACGTCCCATTAAGTCACCTTCAGCAAAATTGTAGCTACATCATATAAGCATGCCCTGCCTCATCGGTAACACCTCCACTTAGAGCGGCCCTTTAGGTCACCTTCAGCAAAATTGTAGCTACATCATATAAGCATGCCCTGCTTAACTGGTAATACCTCCACTTAAGGACGGCTGTTCAAGCCACCTTCAGCAAAATTGTAGCTACATCAATTCAGAATGTCCTGCTTAACTGGTAACAACTCCACTTAAGGACGGCCTTTCAAGCCACCTTCAGCAAATTGTAGCTACATCATATCAGCATACCCTGCTTAACTGGTAACAACCTTCACTTAAGGACAGCCTTTTAAGCCACTTTCACCAATCATCTCTGGTAAAGTACTGCTCAGAACTCTCGTCTGTTTTCAGTAAACTATTTGAGGAATCATATAACTCTCACATTATTCCACGAATATGGAAACTTTCCAAGATTATTCCAGTTCCAAAGATCCTATGACCTAAAAAAACTTAACGATTATCGACCAGTGGCATTGACATCTATTATCATGAAGTGCCTTCAACGGATCATGCTCCGACGTCTCTAGTGTGATGTTAAAGATTACCTTGATCCACTACAGCGTGCATACAAGTCTAAGCGAGGTATTGAGGATGCCACAGTGACCCTACTACATGCAATCACGAAACATCTTGATTCACCCAAAACGTATGCCAGTGTTTTAATTGTGGATTTTAGGTCGACTTTTAATACTATACAACTTCATTTGATGCTACAGAAACTGTGTGCTGTAAATGTTAACCCTCATATTCCTCTCTGGATAAACGACTTTTTAACCAACCGTCAATAATATGTGCGAGTCAATTCGACACACTCTAAAATACGTATTTTAAACACAGGTGCTCCACAAGGATGTGTAGTTTTCCTAGTCCTATTTACATTATTTACTAATGACTGCAGAAGTAATGTGAATCAAAACCTAACTGTAAAATTTGCCGATGACGCTGCAATAGTTGGATAAGTAAGTAACAACGATGATTCACATTACCAATAGGACAATTTTGTAATTGGTGTGATGACAACTTCCTAGTTATTAATACGAAGAAAACAAAGGAAATGATTATAAACTTTAGAATGAAGAAAACTACGTAAAGACCTGTTCTGATTGATAATTGCAACATCGAAGTTGTCCCTGAATACAAATATCTCGGCACCATCATTGATGAAAAGCTTAGTTTTACTGCGAACACAAAGATCTACAAAGAATGCCAACAAATACTGTACTTATTACGGAAACTCAACTTTTAATGTCAATTCTTTCACTCTTGTTTTATATTATAAAACTTTTATTCAATACATTCTTTGTTTATCATACAAAGCTGGTTTTGGTCCCTTTAATTACAAAATAAAAACAAATTGTCCAAAATCATCAATCAAACCAGCAAATTATCAGGAGTCTTTTTAGAAAATCTAACTATTTTAGGCTGTGCGGCATGTTGAAAAACTAGCTTTCAAAATTGCTTCCGATTCCGAGCATTTTCTAATAACGAATATAAACTTCTATCTTCCGGACGCCGCTTCCAAACTCCACTCTCAGAGCTAACAGGGCATCAAAATCATTTATTCCAACCAGCATCGCTATTTTAAACCAGTAAATTTACACTAAACTTTTATCGGTTTCATTCTCATACGTCAACCTCACATTTTAATCTTTTGTATTTTGAATTTGTAGCTTCGGCATCAGGCATTTACCTCAATGTTATTTTATTTACTCTTCTTTCATAACCTATTTAGAGTGCTAATTTTTATTCTTTAATGTAAATTATACATCACTTAACATAATATTCTTTTACCCAACTGTACATTTCTATACCAGTTATCATTGTTCTGATGTGGTTGAATGTATTACTTGCTATAAGTGTCATGTCATAGTCCCCTCGTGTAAATACTGTGTTGTTTTGGTGATTCTCATACTGTTAAATGTACTATTTATTGCTCTATGTATCACAGCAGCTGATGTACAACAAATTCCCTTTCTGGCGAAAAAAAATATTATTAAAGTTAGAATTATTATTAAAGCTGTAGCTCCCTCATCTATAGTCTGTTTGAAGTGAAAACGTACCGATGAATTTCACTTTGAAGCAAAAAGTTAATCAAATAAAGTGAAATTAAAATTGCGAATCCTCATAGGTTTACCTTGCCAAATGAACATTTAAACCTCAGAATTTTATTCAACTTAGGATAAAAGTTGTTTAACAAATGATCATAGTTTAAAATCGCTAGTATTGGTTTGTATTACGAGTGGGTATTCACATTAAATGAAACACCGAGAACAAGTGGGGTTGGTCTAACTTAACGCTCATTACGTACCGGACATGCATTTGTTTCACTGTTCCAACTACTGCGCTTACCCCCTTGATGAAGATTCCAAGGAACTTCTATCAATCAACACCCACAAATAACTGTGTCAGTACAACCGTCTTGTTTTTTGGAATAGCCTCAGCACCTGCTATATGTCAGAAAGCTATAGATCAAGTTCTTCAGGGTATACCAATGACAAAGTGCCTACTCGACGATATGATCACGACGGGTCATAGTGATAATGAACATCTTGACAATTTAGAACTCCTGTTCAAGAGACTGAAGGATAACAATCGACGTGTAAACAAAGAAAAGTGTGAATTCTGCAAAGAGAAAATCCAGTACTGTGGCCATGAAATTGATAAAGAAGGTTTACACAAGTCTTCAGACAAAATCAAGGCAATTGAGGAAGTACCAAAACCGCAAGATGTGTCACAAGTCAGATCCTTCCTAGGACTAGTCAACTACTATCACAGATTCCTACCAAACATCTCATCGGTTCTACATCCTTCGAACGACTTGCTGGAATACAAGGCAGAATTCAAGTGGGACAAGAAATGTGACAATGCTTTTGAAAAAGCTAAACGTTTGATTACATCAGAACAAGTTTTGACCCACTATTATCCCTGTCCGTGTTGCCAGTGACGCTTCACCATAGCTGTGATGTCACATGTGTTCTCTGACGGAAGTGAACGACCTATTGTATTCGCCTCTCGTTCACTCAATAAGGCAGAACGGAACTATTCCCAGATCGACAAGGAAGCACTTAGTATTGTCTTCGCTGTCAAGATGTTTCATGTCTATTTGTATGGGAGACACTTCACGCTTGTGACTGATCACCAACCTCTTACTTCCATATTTCATCCAGAGAAATCCATTCCTGCTATGACAGCAGCCCGTCTACAAACGTATGCTCTGTTCCTGTCCGGACACCAGTACGACATTGAATACAGAAACACAACTAAACATGGGAATGCTGACGGAATTTCCAGACTTCCATTCAAGACTGAAAGAACAGGACAAGATACGTCAGTTGTGTTCTATGTCCATCAGATTGAAACTCTACCTGTTACTGCAAGTCAACTCAAGAGTAGAACTAGAAGAGACCCGGTGCTGTCACAAGTACTAGAACTTACGCTACAAGGTTGGTCAGAGTCGTGCCCTTGTGAAGAGCTCAGATCATTCTACACTAGACGGAGAGAACTCTCCGTGTGTCAAGGCTGCTTGATGTGGGGACTCAGAGTTGTCGTACCTTCATGTCATCAGAGCCAGTGCTTAGAAGAAATACATACTGGTCACATGGGCGTGGTTCGTATGAAATCCCTGGCTAGAAGCTATGTATGGTGGCCCAACATCGATTTCCAGATCGAACAGATGGCCAAGACCTGTCAGTAATGCCTGGAGACCAGGAAGAACCCGCCTGTACACCCATGGCTATGGCCTACGACACCATGGGAAAGAGTACACATAGACTTTGCTGGACCTTTCATGGATAGAATGTTCATGGTCGCAGTGGACGCGTATTCCAAATGGCCAGAAGTGGAAATCATGAAATCAACCACTCCTTTAGCGACTGTTTCAGTCCTACGCCAGATATTTGTTCGTCATGGAATACCAGACAACATAGTGACAGACGATGGTCCACAATTCATCTCAGAAGAAATGTCCAGTTCCATAAAGAAAATGGTATCAAACATGCTATCTCAGCACCATATCATCCTGCAAGCAACGGACTAGCAGAGCGATTCGTCCAATCTTTCAAGAACTCCCTGAAAGCAGAAAAGAAACACATAACAGTTGAACAGAAACTTGCAAACTTCCTACTAGCGTACAGAAATACGCCACATGCAACAACAGGGGAAACACCAGCCATCCTGATGTGTGGAAGACGCTTAAAGACCAGGCCTGACCTAGTGAAACCAAATCTAAGCAAGACTGTTCAAGAACGGCAAGCTGCAAGTATGGATTCAGCGAATGCAGTCCGACAGTTGTCACCAGGACAACATGTTTTCATCAGGTCTTACATGACAGGCGAGAAGTGGATGACTGGAGTGGTTCTCGAGAAAAGAGGAATTTTATCCTATAAAGTTCCAAGCTCTAATGGCACAGTTGCTCGACGTCACATCGACCAGCTGCTCGACACAACGGCTGCTGATACCAACCCCAATACTGAGCTGTCGTCATCTGATATTCAGCGTGGCACAATGAGACCGGTGGTGAACGGCATTGTGTCTACCAAACCAACCATCGCAGATAGTGTCAAGACAAAAGGTGATGTGAGTGTGCAGTGTAGTGCCGAGAGCAGTGAGAACCCTGCTGACGCACAAGGAAATGTGTCTGTGCTGTGTGATACAGGCAGCAGTGATAATCCTGCTCCTGTTGCGTGTGATCTGGAAGTGCAACCGATTCCAGACCCTCTTCTGGAACCAGTGTCGTCGGAATCTCGCAGAAATTCTGAACGAATCCGGCGAGCGCCTAACAAGTTGGATTTGTAGATCCATATGATTAACTGACATTGTTCCTCAGTTTGTGCAAATGAGTAAATAAGTTAACACTTCACCTGCACCATAGCACGAGTCATAAACTGTAAATGTGTTAATCAGTCTCAACTGAGAAGCCGTTTCTATAAACACTACGAGGATAAAGAATAGTGGGGAGGAGTGTTGTGTATGTGAATACGAACTAACACGTAGAGCATGTAACGAGTTATCTCCCTTAGTCTGCGCATGTCCATACAACCCGCTCCTTGTCTCGTACCTGCCACCCGAGTGTTCGGTCGTGTTGTGATAGGTCTCGCATATAAAGTTACATTTGTGTTGGAACCCGAGCCTGGGGACACTAAAATTGGTACGTTAAATGTAGTAGTGTAGCCAATCAAATTGCCATATGAAAATCAAGGGCGGGTAACTTGCCATCAGGGGTTTCTGTAGGTCATGGAGAAATTAAGGCCTCAGAAATATGGAGGATGGCAGATAGATAGATAGCCTTTACAAAATAGATTTCGACTTCAGCCTGTTGTTATGCACGCTCCAACGGACATTAAGTCGTGTAATTCCGCAACGTAAAGTGACAGTCAGGTTCGTCTTGTATGCTGGATGATGAAACGTTTTTAGCGTTGTTGTTGTGAACGTTTACAGTCTTATTGACACAGCTATAGCTCCTTTCTCTACTGCTACAACTCCTACATTGTACTTGTAGTAGTAGTAGTAGTAGCAGCAGCAGCAGGAGTAGTAGAGAGACACATTACGATATTGGTAAGTGAGAATTCAGCAATCCAAGTTTCAGGAAACAAAGAGGCGACAGACGGAGTGATCAGGCTCGCTGACTTGGCTGGAACATGTCATCGTATCCCCATTGCGGAGATGGATGCTCAATGTTGCTCATGATATTGATCACTGGATTTTCTGGTTTATTCGATTATTTACAGTCCGCCGTTGTAAAGCTAGAATATTGGCCTCGGCCACTTGTATTTGAGTTGAACTATGGTTTTAAGGAACTAAAATATGCGAGAGTGTTATAACAGTATTTTTCTGTAGGAAGGTGATATCCACTTACAAAACATTACCTCAGACGTATGCCTGTAACACTTGCGTGCATCAAGAAGTGAGTGGGTGAGTATGGTTTTGCGCCTTTTTTAGCAATATTTCGACAATGTCACGGCGGACTTATTTGCTAAAATTCTATTATTCCTTTTTTGTCTCTTATTTCATCACTGACTGACTGAGTATGGTTTTACGCCGTTTTTTAGCAATATTCCAGCAATATCATGGCGGGGGACACCAGAAATGGGCTTCACAAATTGTCCCCATGTGGGGAATCGAACCCGGGCCTTCGGCGTGACGAGCGAACGCTTTAACCACTAGGCTTCCCCACCGCCCCTTTATCACTGACAATATTATAGGGAGAGTAAACAGTCAAAGAAATACGGTTGAATGTGTATACTGCATAAAGTATGGTGCGACTGTGACGTCAAAATATTATTGACCATGTAGGTTATATTGAACCAAATCCTTCCGAACAGATTGAATAATTTTTGTGTTGTTTCAATGACATTTGTACATTTATGCAGTAATCAAAGCTATACATGTACATGTTTTTTATATATTTAGAACCGTATGTTTTAACACGATGACTTATACTGCATGTGATAACTGATATTTTCAAGGGGGTTACATTTTGTGTTGATTGGTGTGTTTAGATTCCTGTGCTCGGAAAAGAACTATTTGAACTTGTCATTTTTATGTTTTTATTTAATACCAGACAGTTTTGATGGCTTAATTTAAAACAAAATATAAGAATACTATAAAATTCAATGGGAAAATATTTGTTTAGTCTAACCTTAACATCCGCTACTCCATGTACAGCGGCCACAAACATCAAGATCAAGTTTACTGCAGTGTAGCATAGTGGTTAATGTTCGACTTTAATTCATGGAATTTAGGTTTTCTATTTGCCTTTTAGTCAAATTATGACCGTTAGTGAGAAAAGTATGTTATCGTCGTGTAATGCATTAAGTTAAGATTCCGAATAATGAGTTTGCCATTGGAACTAAGACAGCTTTTGCTTTATGTCCGTTAGGACGACCTTTAGCGCTAGGTGTGCTAAAGGTGCAGTCAGGCCTCGATTTGGGGAATTAGCTATAGGGAGCAAGCCTTGAAACAAGAAAGGAGACAGAGCTGTGAGTTCCGGGGTTTATTCAAGCAAGTGTCTTTGCATGACATTCAAAATACATCCATTCATACATAACAATGACATACAATAATGGAAATAGTAATCAATGATATCCTAATACAGTTTAAGTCTAAGTCAGGTAATACAAGCAATGTGTGGCACAACAGTGTATGTACGGTACCTGCTTACAGAAACATAATACAAATAATACAGCATTTCCTTGAGTAACTACGGTACTGATAAATAACATAACCTGACGGATAAAGTAATCATCAAAAACAATTGCAAAGAACAAGTAGTGAGTGGAGCGCCCAACAGTTTAATGACAGCATGTAGTGCCTAGTTCATTAACTGTTGTGCAGATTAATGACTATTACGTTATGTCGCGCCTAATGCGGGACAGGACCCATTTATGACAATTACGGTATGTAGTGCCTATTGCGTTAACTACGGTAGGAATTTATGATTATTACGGTATGTTGCGCTTAATGTATTGACTACGGTAGGAATTTACGACTATTACGGTATGTCGCGCTTAATGCATTAACTACGGTAACGATTTATGACTAGTGTAAGTAAATGTCCGTTATCAACATACATGCCTTGAGCAAATACGGTAAACGGCGCAAAGTGCTCAGATTTGCCATATACTATTTAACTCCGGTATTGACTGTACGCGTTCTAACTGCAATGTTAACATTTATTTTCTCAATACAATAATTTCAGTAGATACGGTAAGTGATATTAGAGAGATATAAAAGTGTTGTAAATAGGGGGACAGAAGGACTAGTTTTAGTTAGAGTACTACTTCTTAAGCTTGTTTTATCATGAATTATTTGGGTGACTACGGTAAGTGTATTTAGACGGTGGTGTTGCTATTGGCAACGTGCAATTTCGACATATACCGAGTTAAGCCATGACCAAGAATATATGTAATGCTGTAGTGCTACATTTTTGTGCGTTACAAAACTACACGGATTTGAACGTATATTTTCTGGTAATATGAAGAGTAGACAATACCATTTTCTACTGATTACGGTAATGTGATTCGCGTATAAACTGTTCTGTACGGTAAAGGAAAGTCCATATGTTTACGAAAGTGACCTCACGAACTACGCTCACTCGTGTTCCGGTAGACAGAAAGCAACAATGGCTGACGATAACAATGAGAACCGGTGTAGCGTAAAAAGCAAACAATGATCGGATTATGTACTTAATCCTCTCAATGCTACCGTCGAACCCATTCGACAGGAGAGCAGCATAATGACATCCCCAAATAAAACTTGCAATAATTATTCAACAAGTCGGATTTACATGTCATTTGAATTATGTATGAAATGAATTAATTTCTCATATATAATCTTCAATTAGTTTATGTACCTTAAAGCAAAACGTCCGTGAACTAAAAATTTGTTCGCCAAAATTCTCAGTACACACCCGCAAATAACGGCCATTTTTTACTTCAGGCACATCACGTCGAGTGGTACCCTGTCTAATATTTTCTTCATAATGAAATATTTTTTTTAATAATTTGATCAGTATTTTTGTTCTTTGGTCAAGGGAAAACACTGAAGTTTCCCATTTCCTAAAAATTAGTAACTTTCGGTTTAATTATTTATGAAAAAAACAAGCTCAATGTTACATCACCGATTGGACGAATAGGAACGATCATGGCAACGGTGGTAAACAAACATCTCCACATGCATCGTGATACCGAAAAACATTTGCCATCCTTTTGATAGATCCAACTGTTTTCGTTGGAATTAATTACATGGTCTGATTAGGTAAATGGTATTGTCTTTGTAACAACATTATCATATTTATCGAGTTTATACTGATTTTGTTGGTGAAATATCAAAACACAAATGTTACCTATCATGTGAGCGCGTATCTGAGGTAAATCTACACGAATATCATTTGATCTGCGGACTATCGTAAAATACATAAAACTTCGTCTTTGCTGGAAATGATTGTATAAACTCTCGGAACTGTTTTTGTGACTAAGCTACTAGAATCTAGGCTACTGAACGGGAATCTAACCTGCATATACAGATCTAACACGCAAACATGAATGAAACAAGACAAAGACTGGGGATGTACACATGTGTGTCGAAACATAGAAAAGAAATATTTGTTTGTACACGAACGACATAAAACTTGAGGAGCCCACGACGCAATGTGCATAAAAAAATATCCCTGGATAGTGCCTAAGAATTAATCGGTTATCTAGAACTAGCATTTGCAATGAAAAAGTGCTTCAGTGTTGTAGGAATGTTTCTAGCTAACTCTAACATCTTCTAGACGATAATTACACAGAAATAACAAGTTAAACATAAACAAGAAATACAGTTTGAATGTTTCTTACCTTGAAACAAGAAAGGAGGCAGAGCTGTGAGTTCCTGGGTTTATTCAAGCAAGTGTGCCTGAGATGCAAGAACCCAGGATTTTATACCCCACAGCCCTACCCGTTTGTCATTATCAAGTTTCTATAAAGTTGAAGTTTCCATATGCGTTATCTACCCAATGCTGACAAAGTATACTACACGAGGTAGATGGTAAGAAGATGATTTCCTAACAAGGTTTGATTTTCTTTATGGTGTAGCCACGGTCAACAAACTATCTGTCAGCGCCTGACTAGGGCATTTACGACAGGAGAAAGTGGATAGCATTATGGTAATCTCGATCTTGTTCACCAAAAGTTGATTTTCGATTACGACTAAGTTGGTGGTAGACATGCACCTGCTGGGATGGGACTACTTATCTGTGCTTGACCAAGGGATGTACCCGAGAAGAAAGGCCGGAGCCGACACAGCTCAATAACTTCATCTTTGATTAATGAGTTTAAGGTTGGCGTGGACACTGTTTGCTAATTGCCTACTACTGCGCTTGTCATGCGGGGCTATAAACAAAACAGACTATGCACAGCGACTTGCACCTATACAGATTTCCTATGTTATGAATATTTTGTGAAAAATATAAAAATGTATGAAGAAATATATGCACTGTAATAGAACCATAAAAGTATATATGTATCACAACTAGACTGTCTTTTTACGCGATTTAAGTTTTCTTTGAGAGGTGAAGATCTCCTAAGGATCAGACTTGAAAAATCGGTCATCAATTTCGGGGCGGTGAGGGAGGAAAGTGCACGGGCGTCACGCCGAACGTCCGGGTGCGACTCTCCTTATGGACACAATGGCTTCCCCCGCCGTGATATTGCTGGTATATTACTCTCAGCAGTATAAAACCATACACGCATAGCACAACGATCAAAGTACACAAATGTACGTGCACTACCGAAATTACATGCTTGTTCAAATGTAGCACGTATGTCAAAATACGGAAGGTACTGTTAGATATGTTCCGCTTGTCATTTCCATGCACCATATTCATGAAGCATTTGTCTTGAGTTTTGCATTGATTTACCTAAAATTTCAGGTTGTACAGGCAAACTCCGTTTTCTCAAAGATGGAGGGTACATGCTTCGAGTTATCAAAAGTAAATTAGATTAACGCAGACACCAAACTTTCATTTCCACACAACGGTGTTTGACTGATATTTTGTCACTTTAATGCTGATTTTGATATTTAATAATGCTGATTTTGATATTAAATAAAGAACCATAACTGGGCACTCGCTTTAGTCGACTGATTAGAGTACTGAACTGTTTGAGTAGAGTTGAAAACAGATATAACAGGTGATTAGAATACTTTCCCCCTATATCTCCTATCACTGAAAGTGATCCTACTTTAACATATTTGAGCAGTCATTTGAAAAAAAATCATTATGAAATGACATTGTAACTACGAATACGTCGCTTTTCCGGTATATGAGCATTTGACGGAAATGAATTACAATTGGTTAATTAATGAGTATCCAACAAGAATCAGAAAAGGGTAAAAATGTTCTAACGTACAATAGGCGGAAAAGCGATGCTCTTTTTCAACAAAACCAATTGGAGAAAGTCGTGGACGGTTAACACAGAGTCGTTGGAATGTTCGCAGACCAGGGATTTGAACTTAGGGCAAATCGTGGACTGGAACAATTGATGAGCACACCTAGGGGAGACGGATCAGCTGACGAATTAAGGCACCTGCATCGGCTGGTTAAGTCGTATTCCCCACCCGTCTATGACAGAGAAGAGACATCATATAGTGAACCATAGTTCTAACCGTTGATGTATCTGGATGAATGTGGTTTGGGCCCAAGGCCACCGTCATATCCCAGTAGTCTATATACACCACTCGGTGTGCAATAGATGAGAACTCCTCATGCAATACATCTGTATATAGCAGTCCCCAATAGGACACAAGCTCTTGAGACGGATTCCTGTAATAAGCAAAGGGTCCTCGAACAGCAAGTGTGACACCAGGTGCCCGTTGAAGGAGAGACGTAGCTGCCCGAACAAGTCGCTGAACATGTTGGCGGTATATGTCCGGGTGGACTAAATTGAAGTGGACATATAAATACAGCACCACAATATCCACTGTGTTATTGGGCAAAGATTCAAGAAGAATATGTTGTGCCCTGTTTGTTAATGAAGAGTAGCGCCCGGATCCGTGAAACAGCGGGAATTCATGAGCAAACCATGCCACTGAGAAATTGTCTTGCTTGTCCTCCAAGAGTTGAGGATTGTGATCATTGGAGGGGCGTGGTAGGTTAAGTGTGTCGTGAAGGGATGCCTTGAATTGACGACTGGTTGAGTCCCCGGGGATCCAAAGTCGTCGGTTCCTTAAACACTGTCGATATGCCCGGGCTGTAGATTCTAGGGTGTCCAAACACAGCGTGGGTTTCCACTTAGTTCTGTGAATAACTCCAACAGGATGCTTGCGTTGCCAGGTATACTTTGGCGAAAGTTGACTGCAGGGCGTTTTAGGCGTGTCCACCTTTTTATTCCCAGTTTCTGAAAGATGGACAAAATAGGTAATTCAAATGCCATATTGTTTTTGGGTGTTTTGTCTTTTTTTCTGTTCAACGCCAAACGCATTCATCAATATTCCCCCAAGGGTAAATGTGTGAAGTCCATTTCTGGTGTCTCCTGCCGTGATATTGCTGGAATATTGCTAAAAGCGGCTTGACTGACTGAGTTTAGTTTTTACGCCGCTTTTAGCAATATTCCAGCAATATCACGGCGGGGGACACCAGAAATGGGCTTAACACATTGTGCCCATGTGGGGAATCGAACCCGGGCCTTCGGCGTGACGAGCCAACGCTTTAACCACTAGGCTACCCCACCGCCCCAAAAGCGGCTTGAAACCATACTCGCTCTCGCTTTAATATCCTGTTCACATAGTGACAGTACCACCAAAGGTGTTAAACTTCTTTTAGGTAGAACCCGTGAAGATCCGGGTGAGAATTGGTCTTAAGCAGCCAATGACTGTCGCCCCGTGAGGGCCAGGTTCGATATGGTCTTCAAAAACCCGTGCTTGTCGTAAGAGGCGACTAATATGATCATGTGGTCAGGCTCACAGATGTGATTGAAACATGTGGTCCCAATTGCGTAGTTCGATGGTCCAGATGTTGATCACTTGATTGTGTAGTCCAGATTCGATCGTATACAGAACGCCGCACTACAGGTGGAATATTGCTGAGTGTGGTGTTAAAAAACAACAACCTTTTAATCCTATAACGGGAATATTGCATAGCTTGAGATTTGATATATATTTGACACATACTTACCCATTTCGCTTGTTATTTGTAAGGTGGACAGAAGGAAGTCATTGTCTGGTTTAGATGATCTGAAACAGGCGGTTTCTTTCTGTTACTTGCAGGGTTGGAGGATGCAACTGAGGTTCAGCTTGTTCATGATATCCTTGAAAGGCTACGTTTTACGTACATGGTGCAGGAATATATTGTATGTTTTCTCGTTGATGAATCCACTAGCACAGATACGGAAAATATTGTTGAAAGATTTAATAAAAGCAATGATATTTGTACAGTATGTATGTATGTATGTATGTATGTATGTATGTATGTATGTATGTATGTATGTATGTATGTATGTATGTATGTATGTATGTATGTATGTATGTATGTATGTATGTATGTATGTATGTATGTATGTGTGTATGTGCGTGCGTGCGTGCGCGTGTGTGTATGTATGTATGTGTGTCTGTCTGTGAGTGTGAGACATATGTTTTTCATTTGGACCTTCCATTTTATTGTGACAACTGAAATCATTTCAAAGTATCAGCGTCAAAGTGAAAACAAAAAAACGCTGTAATCTGCTTTAACAAAAGTTCTAAACATCTAACTTGCTTACATTTTGCACGGAATCGTTCTTTAATTGGTAACGACACAATCTGGTTCATATTTAGAAACAAAATACTATGATACGAATAAAATCATACTTACAAATAGTATATGTCACGTTGCTGATTTTCCTTCGGGAGATATTCTGCTCCAAACAGGGACCAGGACTTACTGTAGGTGTCGCAGTTAAGGAGTGAATTCTTCGGCTTTTCACAGTACCACGGGAAACCGTCATTTAGAGAAGTAAAGTTGCAGATGTCTCCTAGGCGGTTCCGTAACATGCTGCAGCTCGTACTCTCTTTCACCAAGAAGCCCCATACGAACTCCCGTTTCAGCTGCCACAGCGTTCCATGTTCAGCCATGATGGAATAGAACATCGCTAGTTCCTCCCTACGACGCTCAAGAAAGCAGCGGATCCTTCCCATGCCTGACCACTGGACTCTGAGAAACCCGGTGTAGCTGCCGTTGTTGTTGTCGAAGACGTCTCCAGCAACTGCAACTTTGTCCTCTGTGTTTTCCATCCATAATCTAAAGAAATCGCCGCCAACTGTTTGCTTCTCTCCGTAATGATTGTAAGTGTTGATCTCCACTGTTATGACGTCTCCGCGTCTATACAGAGGCTGTGGATTTAATAACGTCATTGTGGAGCGGTGTGCACTTGTGCACTTCCGGGTATCCCTTTGCTTACCTCCCTTGATCATGTTTGCCTCACTTAGATAGCGAGGAGCATCGCTTACTGATCTTCTGCTGTTTGGTTCTACAACTATATGCGTCTCAGTGGTGTCAATAAGAGGTACGTTTCTGCAAACACGAAAATAAGGTTTGAAAAAATTCATGACAGACCCATCACCTCCGATTATCTTCTATTACTTTACAAATATTGTTTGGAAACACCTTTTTGAACAGGTTTCTGAAATGTTCATTTTCTGAAGGCTTAACTATTCATCATTTGCCTTGCAATAGGCTTGGCATATGTCACGATCAGGTAGATTTTAATTACATTTACTTTAACCATCTTCCACCTTCCCAACCAACCCATCTCCACCCTCCCAACCGACCCATCTTCCAAGTACCCAACCAACCCATCTCCACCCTCCCAACCGACCCATCTTCCAAGTACCCAACCAACCCATCTCTACCCTCCCAACCAACCCATATCTACCCTCCCAACTGACCCATCTTCCACCCACCACCCAACCAACCCATCTTGCACCCACCCAACCAACCCATCTTGCACCCACCCAACCAACCCATCTTCCACCCAACCAACCAACCAATCTTCCACCCAACCAACCAACTCATCTTCCACCCACCACCCAACCAACCCATCTTGCACCCACCCAACCAACTCCATCTTGCACCCACCCAACCAACCCATCTTCCACCCAACCAACCAACCAATCTTCCACCCAACCAACCAACCCATCTTCCACCCAACCAACCAACCAATCTTGCACCCACCCAACCAACCCATCTTCCACCCACCCAACCAACCCATCTTCCACCCAACCAACTCATCTTCCACCCAACCAACCAATCCATCTTTCACACACCCAACCAACTCATCCTCCACCTACCCAACCAACCCGTCTTCCAACCAACAAAACAAAACAACTGAAATTGGCCCCAATCAAGCAGCCAACCAACCGATCAATTAATCGATCTGTGAATCAATTGTCCGATAGAAATCAACCACAATGCCATCAAATTAACCACTTATCAAAGCCATAAAAGCTAACCAATTTAACCAAGTAAGACAGTTGATATATTAACATTCATATGCAACAAACCAAATAATAATGAATTCACAAAAACTAATAAAGCAAGTACAATATTCTAATCAATATGTCAGTCCTGTATTGTATCAACACGGCAAAGTAATATAGAGCACAGTTTACGCCCCCTAGGCAGGGAAATATACTGGATAAAATAAGTTAGGGATATTGGTATTTTTATGATTGATATTTTATCAGTGTGTCAATGAATAAATAGATCCTTATTCATAATTTCAAAATTTACATATATCCCAAACTATTTTTGTCCAGTATATATGATCAAGTTCTGGTATACCTTGTTCAAAGATGAAACTCCAGTCCGTTTCTAATTACTGACTGTACCGCTAACAGCAGTCAATTTACCACCCGAATTGCGAGTACTGTGTTCAAGTGTATATTTTTGTAGCATTTCCTGTTGATCAAAGTCCGTTTCGTATTTTTAAATGAAGAGAAATTTAGTGTAAACACTGTTCATGTGTTTCTGCATGTTCAGTTACACTGTTTCAATAAAAGAATTAGTAAATAATCGTTTTGTCCACTAATATGGGGAGAGTAGTGGATTTGGCCTTTCCTCATTTGAAGTATTGGTTATTTTGGTGTAAAAGACAAATATTATGTATGACAACTTCTTCTTCATTGTATGGCACAACGTTTCTGGGTTATTCCTTGCCCCTTCGTCAGGGCATGCCCATTATCTATACATCTTACTCTATCATCTCCCGTTTCTTATCCCATTTATTGTATATACATGCAACACTGGTTTCTTGTACATTTGGGGCGGTGGGGTAGCCTAGTGGTTGAAGCGTTGGCTCGTCACGCCGAAGACGCGGGTTCGAATCCCCACATGGGTACTATGTGTGAAGCCCATTTCTGGTGTTCCCCGCCGTGATGTTGCTGGAATATTGCTAAAAGCGGCGTAAAACCAAACTCAGTCAGTCAGTCAGTCAGTCAGTCTTGTACATTTAGTATATATACTCATTGATGTATCTTGACCTGACGAAGGGACAAGGAATAGCCCAGAAACGTTGTGACATACAATAAAGAAGAAGTTATCATCCATAATATTTGCGTTTTACTTGAACACCAACTTCTAAATGCCTCCCAAGAACCTTACTTTGGTGTAGGTAAAATTGGTCTCGTCACATTGGTGACGTTATATTTTCCGTGTTTGTGTATATAGTAATTACCTGTATTGGTCCTCCTTGTTCTTCCACAGAAATACCACAATAACAGTCCCGACCAATATGCATAGGGTAAGAAAAGATGATCTAGTCCGACTCATTGTAAAGTTGGGTATTGCCCGACTATCAACACTGACGTGTTGTCTGTGACTAAAAACCCTTATCCACATGCATGTAAGAATGCCCATCTCTGATTGGTTCACGTGACCTTGAACAAAAGACCATGCATGCCTGGTACAGGGTTGGTATAATTGTTTACGAGGGACAATGCTACAGTCACTGAACCGTAAAATGTGGTTCGGATCGATTAGCCAGCTCCATACTCTTAAGATATATGAATCAATTTCAGTTTCTTATGATGTTATATTTACTTAATGAGATATTTAAACCCCGTTTACCCCTCATTACAGTACTGCAACTTACACCGTCTCCACCTATCGAAGATGAGCTTTATTGTTCGAAAGTCAGGCTTGTGTATCAGGTAAATGAATGGACGTTGCCAAGGCGTGCATGTCTCGCTTTATACGGTTAAGCTACCAGTGTTACCTGGGAACCAGCATCGCCGGTATGCAGTTGGGAGTGTTAACGGGAGGGGAAATACAATAGGGGTAGGGTTGAGTCAAGGTTAGGGTAGGGTCAGTTGGGTTTATTAAGCGTAGAGGGGTGGTAAACAGGGGAGAGAGTTCATGTAGAAGGCCTTGGTTAGAGATACACTGTTTTTGGGGTACGGGGTGTGAGTACATGTACAGGGGCAGTGGGAGGCTTCATACATTGTACCCATGTTGGGAATCGAACCCGGGTATTTGGCGTGACGAGCGAACGCTTTAACCACTACGCTACCCCACCCCCAATCTTATTAGTGCTTAGATGCATGGAGTATATGGGTATTTTCAGGTGACAAGCGACATATCCCTATCCATAATGTTTTGAAATGTCTGCTGAAAGAAAAGCGATTTGCTCGATTTCGATTTTATCATAAAAAATCGTTTATGAACCTTATCGGAAACATATTGTATAAATGGGGCATTATTTTGAGTATTGGAAATTGATGGGTTAAATGTGGAACTATCGTCATTGTTGAAAAACATCCTGAAAGCTTTCCTATAACCTTGAATGATATATTTTTGATGCAACATCTTTAGCACGAAGTAAACTTCGTCAACCGCGTCACCAATTATAACTACCCGATCACCATTATGGAAAGTACGAACACTTCACAGATAACGTATTACATGCATGCATTGCATTATTATAAACGCAAAAACATTTTCATATTGGTGTTGTTTATTTCCTAAAGTTTCTTCCATGTGGCCATACTGGACCAGACTACATTTGTTAGCCTTCAGTTCTATTCCTGGTGGCGGCACACAGTGATTTCAGTGATTTTTGTTTTCAATGGATGTAGGTAACTTAAAGGAAAATAAATAAAACTAACTCTGTTCTTGAAATCGAACAGAATAAAGATTTTTGGGGCCACTGTAACGGTTTCGTTCAGGCTTTTTTAGTGATTCCCGCAGCGGTGTCTCTTAATTCTTTAGACAGAAACGAAAATGGACCGATCTTAACAAAACATTATGCCTTTTGTGAGCTTTTGTAGTGTATTCTCACCCAAGGGTTGCTTTTATAATCAACGCATTCAGACTCATGGTAACCCGGCGGAAGATGACCTCAGACTCATGGTAACCCGGCGGAAGATGACCTCAGACTCATGGCAACCCCGATGCTTGGGAACAACTGAAGGGAACGGGCCATCTGGCTTACTTTACAACCTCTGCAATCTCTCCTGCTTGCATTACAATCTATCTCGGTCGATGAAACGAATCTAGCACATGATCTATATCTGTTGACCTCACTACTTTCATTGGGGCTACACATTACATTTTACGGTGGAGCTTACCGGGTCGTTCAGTCGTGGTGACCTCAGTCTTGGTGACCTCACTACTTTCATTGGGGCTACACTCTACATTTTACAATGGAGCTTACCGGATCGTTCAGCCTTGGTGACCTCAGTCTTGGTTACGTCATTCTACCATATCGACGCACTTGGTATAGATTTAACACACCGCATACGATATTGAAGTAATGTATTTTTCTTGTCATTTTGAACGTTTGGCGTAACTTGCAGCTTAAAAAAATCTCATGTATGTCGTAAGAAGCTACTAACGGTATCTATTGTTCAGGATCGCTGACTTAGTAACCAAGTGAGCGACCCAGGGCCCCGTTCCTCAAAGCGATCGTAGCGCTACGACAGTCGTAACTCCCATACTTTAACATAGACTTACGACTGTCGTAGCGCTAAGATGATCGTAACTCCCATACTTTAACATAGACTTACGACTGTCGTAGCGCTACGATTGCTTTTAGGAACGGGGCCCTGGCCACTAGCTATGTCATCGTATCCCAACTGCGTAGATCGATACTCATGATGCTGATCACTGGAATGTCTAGTCCAGCATCGATTGTTTACAGACAGCCACGATATAGCTGGAATATTGCTGAGTGTTGCGTTAAAACAACAAATACAACAAAACACCCCAAAGGTAATGATATTTCAGTTCGATCTGTCAATATTTCAAACATTACACAGACAACGAACACAACGACGTTGTTACTAATGTGTTCATTGTATAAAGATGTTAGAATGAAATACCTTAGATTTGAACGTTCCCAACACAACGACAATCTTTACTGTAAATGAAGGGTACATTAGCCTTAAGAAGTCAACTGAGAGAAGATATATTAAAT